TCTCAATTCAGATATTTCTAATTTTCTAACACTTTTTAAAGTTATTTACAGGTTTCATACATAAGTATGGAAAACTCCATACAAAAAATGGGCTGATAGTTAATTCAAAACTATCAAATTGCAAGAGTGATGTTGCTTATATGAATTTTTGCATTACCGTATGTACATCTTTAATACCATGATTTTCCCAAGAATTTACCATTTAATACTAGCTGTTTAGACCAAACTCATGGTTGATCGAAATGCTTATCATAAAAATGCTCTGATTATCATGGATGAACACGAATTTTTTGGAGAGGTTCAATATTTTTTTTCACACCAATATAATGACAACTGGTCTATGCTAACCTATATACAATAGATACGAAATCTCTAGCCTTCTGGACATGGTCTATTGAAGTTTTGGAATCTTGATACATTTGAAGTAATTAATGTTAGTGCAATTTGTATAAGTGTTGGATTTCTCAAAATGCCAAACAATGAGAATTATATCATCGATCGAGAAAACCAGATTAGATTCTGATAATTTTCATTATTTCATTTGTGTATATTTTTATCGTGATTTGTTATAATTTATGTTAAAATAATATTCCGTTTTTAATTGCGAAATTACCAGTAATTTGATAAGTCCGTTTGAATTCCGTTTTCCTATAAATGACATTATGAAAAAATGGATTAATTATTTCATTTTTATTTATGAAATTGTCAGTAATTTAATATGTCCATTTAAATTCCGGTTTTCTAGACTGATTATTCCATTTTATTTGTGAATTGAAAAATAGGCTGATTATTTCGTTTTTCTTTCTATAAATAACATTATGAAAAACAGATTGATTATTTCATTTTTATTTGTAAAATTTTCAGTGATTTAATAGGTCCGTTTAAATTCCATTTTTCTATAAATGATATTGTGGAAAAATTACAGACTACTTACTCAACCAGTTGAGGTACATTGAACATTTACGGATTCATAAGTACAATTATGGGTATAAAATGGAAATATTCCAGAGTGTATTTTTTATAGGGCATAAAGTGCCAAATGTTTGACTCAAGCGGGTGGTTAAAAAAGGTCATGACTGATAAAGTCCATCATATTTGAGATTCATAACGTATGATTCCACCAAATCTCCTGAAGATATCAGGTATGGTTAAATATATACGTTTGTAATTGATAAAGCTTGATTTCACTTCAGTTTATTAAGTATACCTTAATTTGTTAACATTACCATTTCTTCTGGATCACCTTTCATTCTTAACAGCTGATTGATGGATTTACGCCCTCGCAATTGTACTTTCAATCTATCTTTTTGTTGTTGGAGAGGTGTAAATCCAGGTAGTTTAATCTCTGAATTCAGAATAGGGATTTCATTAACCAAGCACGACAAATCTGGCCTTATTGCAGTACCACTTATCATACGATTCAACTGAATATTGTACTCTTTGTATGAATTAGTAAAAAACAGTGGTCAGATGATTGGATGTAGTAACTTGAAACAGTACTCATCTTCTGATATTTTGGTTAAGGCAATGTTAGGAATACTGCTACACCTGTTATACGCGAAAAAAAAGTTAAGAGGCAGATCTGATCTCATTTTACATGCTTTATAAGATAAATGCTTATATGTCGTTAAAAATTCGAGAAATAACTCAGCTGATTTCAGAATCGTCTATGAACAAAAAGACGGTCTTTCTTTCTAAGGAATCGGCCGATGCATTCCATAAAGAAGATGAAATTTCCGTTGGTAGAATTGAATCAGCTACAATGTAAGAATTCTCAATTATAATCGTTTGCCATTCCTGGCCAGTAAAAATATGAGAAGGATAAGGACAATGCAAGCTTAAAACAATTATCGAAGACAATTCTCTATCAAAGCATAAATAAAAATCGTTAGCATAATACATTATCCAATATTATTACATCCAAAACACTTACAGTACTTCATAAAAGTCACACCACTTTAGTCTATAAATCTTCGCTTTCTCAAGTGTTTCTATCTGGTAATTTTTGAATCTTTGCGATACATTGACTGTACTGACTTTCCACTAAAAGCAGAAAGCAAATTGTTAAGATATGTAGAATAAAAACATCAGAGTTTTTATATGTGACATACCTCATTTAATTGTTCCCGTAATAACTTCATTTCAACACTTGTGAAATCAAAATTTATCTCTTCGTCATTGTTAGGCCCTATATCAGAAGAAGGTAACTCTGAGAAAGAATCTTCACTTTTATTTCTCGATTTCTGAGACTTAGTCCTTGAAGTGTTTTTCACCACCTTTTTCACCTAAATATAGTAAAATATACATAAGTTTTTATATTATCTTAGCTTTACCATCTACAATTTCTTTTTTCACCTTTTTATAATTTGGCAATTCAACTTTTACATTTAACATTTCCTAAGAGTACTTATATTTAGTAATCTGTTTGTAAGACAAAGTATTAGAATAAATCCTAATTTTGAAATAGTCTGAACTTTGACAGCTAAAAATGTTACTACTATACCTCATCTTCCTTATTTTGATTAGTTATATTATTCAGATCCTTTTCATGCTGAAATACATAAAACAGATTATTGCTAACATTTACAGTCATTTCTTTCTCATTCAACTTCCATTTCAAGGCTATTATTTCGTATTAAGAGAAAAGATTAAAATATATAATACAGGATGTAATGAAAGATGAGTTGATGTATTATCAGATTGTATAAAAACTGTTTCTTCATCGATTTTGGAGGCATTCTGTTTATAAGACGAGACTTGTTTTTCTTGCATTATGAACGAAGTCTTCTTAAGATGGTTGAGACCTATTCCTTCAAACTCTATCATTCCTTCTTTCTAAAGATTAAAAATAAGGAGTTAGAAAAATATTAGCACTAGAGATAGTTTTTGTAAAGACAACCTACTCACTGCAACTTGGATTTTCATCAACTATCTCAGATTCTAAAATAATTTTCTGTAGATTCCAGAAGAGTTTTACTAAATTCGATCTTTTATCCTCCTAAAGAAAAGATGGGCATAGGATGAGTCAAATGAATATAGAATTAATCAAACATAGTACGCAAAGTAATGCTATATGATCAAACTACAAACAAGTAAGCAACTTTTGCCTTATAAGAAAGCAACTCACAAGGTGTTTGTGCGAATAAGCAATTTGAAGACTGACTACGGACGAGTAAACAACTCTTATCTTACAAGTAAGCAACTTATAAGATATCTGTGTGAATGAGCAACTCACAAGTAGTCCGTTGAAACATCACAGCCTTTCTCTTGTGAAGACAACAAAAATACTTACCTTAAAATCTTCTTTCCATTTTAGCGTCATCTTCCTGATTTCAGTTGTTTTATCATAATAATTAATTATATCATTTATTTCAAGAGTATATCGACAGTATTCAGTTTCCAGATCTGCCAAATCACCCATGTTACGTCAGTAGTCTAAAAACTTCTTTACTAAAGGAATATCATTGTTCTGTAAAAAGGCTACATAAATATTTATAAATGGCTAGATTACACTATAGAGCATCATTGTGAAAAATAGCTAAGATTGGTCTTACCAGGATATTTTAGACTGTCAATACATTCGGGACTCAGTTGCATTTTTTACGTAAAATATAAATCAAATTTTTTAAATTTTAGAGTTAAGTTGATAATCTTGATTTTGTATAATATGCCAATTTATGTAACCACGCGGTCACAATGTCACGTGCATAGCACAGAAATATCATAAAATAGATATGTTTATGTGTGAAAATGCTGATTACTTAGTACTTTTTAATTCTGGTAGCTCATATGAAGATGTCTTTAAAATTATTAAACACTATACTGATAATGTAAAAAATGCATCAATGGTCATTAATAGCTATCTCTGCAAAAAGGGTGAGTTTGTTGTATTTAATTTCAGTAGGCCTGAGGATAATTCTCTTGTAATTCATCTAAGATTTAACACACCATTGAACCTGCAGAAAGAGATAGAGGTGAGGCAAAAACGCAAAAGACAAGTCATTACATATTGAAAGATTATATATATTAGATGTGGCTTAGAATCATACAGATAACTACTATGGAATGATTTAACCAAAGTCACATAGAAGTGATTATGTTAAGATAGTCTAAAAATTACATCATAACTATTTTTAAGAAATACTGCGCCAATACTGTATCAAATAATATATTGTATTATTAGATCTGAAAAAAATACCATATCAATACTGTACCATTACCACAAAATTGCGTAATACTATTCCTAATAGTATTAGTATGTTAATATTCAAAAGAAACAAATCACATGTTTTCTGAGACCACGTGGTCCTGCAAATTTGTCAAGAAAAAATACAGATGAATATGTAAAAATAATCAGCCACCAGAGCACTTTATTGATTTTGAAAAAGTAAAATATAATAATTAGATTATTTTTTTCAAATTTTATAGACTTTCTTTTTTTCATTTTTGGTAGTGATGATGATCTTGGTGAAGAAGATACTGTAGAGCTATTTTCTGTATTACTACTTGAACTAGTTGGAAGCGCGTAATATAAAAGAGATATATTGACGTGTAAGATATTCTATAATTATGCAAAGCATCTTAACAACTAAGTATGCGTTAATTTTAAGCAAGTGGAATATAAAAATTGCATTTCACATACCCGTATTATCAATAAAGTTTCAACAAATTTAAACACTGTATTCCCATCTGTTGGCTGTATCAGAATTTCAACTGTACGTAAATTATAGAAATGGTGTATCTCATCTATACCTCGAATGAGGATATTTAAATGCATCTCAGTTCTGATAATTTGGATCCCAATAATACCAAAATCATCTTTGTCCAGTTTGCATCCTTTGTGAGCCCAATACATTCTATCGTTCATCTTTCTCCAAGTTTTTACCCTATCATTTTCCTTTTTTTGTTCATTATAAATGATACGAAAACTTTCACCATAAATTAATTCATATGACCTATTATTATAACTAGCAATGAACATAACATCTGGTCGTTTTCCAACTCCTCTTCTATCTTTGCTAGTTATACTTTGACGCTCGGCTGTAGAAATATAACCAGATTTTTTAATTGAAAGATCTTTTAATGATGCTCGAATCATCAGAACTATTACATCGGTCATATATGTTCCTTCATTTTGTGACTTAATCATCCAGGAGGGACCGTCCCCTATTACACAAAATTTCCAAATCTAGTAATGAGACGATGCATTGATCAACCAATCGAAATCGTGATTTTTGAAATGAAAT